CCCACCGGGATTTGCCGGGCGAGCGTGGGGCAGCTCCGAGCCAGCAGCTCGCCGGGAAGTGCGCCGGGAGCTCGCGCTGCCCCCGGGGCTGGCCTGCTAACGCGAGCTGTGCCGCTGCCCCAGCCGGGCTCCAAACCAGTTTTGCTGCTCCTGCCCGGTGATAAAATCGGCGCCTCCGCCCCGGCTGGGGCCCGAGCAGCGCCACTCACCCGCCTTGCCCTGACGGAGGTGGCGTCCGTCTGTCCGGGCGTTCCCAGGCTGCTCCGCAGGAGAACTGCCAGCTGGGGAAACTGAGGCACACTGCGGTGGAGAGCTGGCCGGGCACGAGCATCCGCGTGGGGATGGGGATGTGGGGCCTCCCCCCAGCTCTCGCCCTCCTCCTGCCCCTCCCTGGCTGCTTTTCCCGGCAGGCAGATCCGTGCGGAAAAACAGGTCAAGTTCAGAGCCTGGCAGCAGCCTGGGGTCACGCCAGCGGTTGCCTCACCGGGGCGGGGAGCCGAACCCCGAAACGGGGCAGGCTGCTCCCCCGCTGCCCCCACCCCTCTGGGGGTGCAGGGAGAGGGGCTGGGACCCCACCACATACCCGCCCTCAGGCACCGCTTGCTGCCTTCGCCCCCGCAGGCAGGCAGCTGCTGCCTGTACCCCCCCCCCCCCCAGCCAAGCCAAGGCAGGGTGGCAGGTGCGGGGGCCGCAGGACACCTGGGTCCCCTGCTGAGGCCACGGGGGAGGTTGGGGACCGGGGACCAGGCGATGTGCCACCCCATCCCCATCCTTCCCGCAGCGTGTGCCCGGGCACAACGGCGCAGGGAGTGTCTGGCATTCCCGGTGCCTGCTGGCTGCCCGCCCGCGGGAGCAGGCATGTCCCTGCCCGGCGGGAGGAGGAGGAGGAGGAGGAGGGGATGGCAGGGCCATCGCCGTGTCCCCCTCACCCTTCCCCGTGCCCCCCCACGTCCTGGCACCCCTTCCCGCGGTGCCGCACACGGCACCAGCCATGGGGTTGGCAGCCCTGACGGAGCAGGACCCCAAGCCCCTGGC